AGCACTATCTGCTTTTTATACAATTAACTGAGTGACCACAACCTCCCAGGTGTGGCCAGTACCGCCCAGCCCGAGGCCCTCAGTCCCACCTCTCAGTTATGTCAGTGCATCTCTTCTGCGCACGCTTGAGAACTTTGGAAATCCCCTCACGCACGTGCAGTGTGTTTTGGGGGTCTTCTCTAATTGAGTCGGGGGTCGAGCGTTGCTCCGCTCCTCATCACTTTCTTCTTCAAGCGACCTTGGAGGACAATTAGCCAATCACAGAACACCAATTAAAACAATTTATACAGAAGTTCTCCCTCCAAGGACGAATTCACTGTTTTATCAGTGAACCTGGCAGGGAGAATATAAACTCCTGCAGGTGGCTGGGGCCAAACACAGACCAAAAGTATCAGCATAAATTCACCCTGGTACACTCAGTTACCACAGCAACCGTCAATGGACCCCTTCCTAACTGTGGTGCCATGGCAACCAAGGCTAAGACTAGTTATGATGCTCAGTTGCCATGGAAACCTCCACTAGGGCCTGTTGCTCTGGGCGTGTGCCATGGAATTCTGGATCCATGCTGTTGCCAATGCAACCATTAGTCACTCCTGGTGCCCAATGCCATGGTACCCAGACATAGAGATGCTTTGCCAGGGACTGTTTCCATGGCAACCAGCACTTGACTGGGCTGTCATGGCAATTGCCATGAAAACTCATTGTCAGGGACTGTTGCCATGGACACTTCCACTTGTTGGTATGGTCAGCTGTCATGGCAACCATTTCAAGTCCCATTGCTAAGGCAGGTTGCCATGCCAACCATCAGAAGGACCTATTCCTGTGATGGTTGCCATGACAACTTGCATGAAGACACAATGCTGCTGTAATTTTCCATGGCAACCATCAAGAAACCTGTTGCCAGGGACCTTCTCATGGACACTTCCATGAGTCGTTTGTCATGGCAACCATTCCACATGACAATCATCATAAGAACCCATTGGTGTGGTCGGTTGCCATGGTAACCATCTCGATGTCCCAGCCCTGTGGGCCCCTGGTACTGGGGGATGGACTTGGGGGGCTGGTTTGGGCTGGGAGGGAAGTGAATTTCCTTCCCAGGGGTTTCTCTGGGGCTGGGTTTGGATTTGAACTGGAAACGGGAGGAGAATTCCTGGAGGGTTTGATTCCTGCCCAGAGCCAAGGCCTTTCCTGCTCCTCATCCTACCCCACCAGCGAGGGGGCTGGGGGGGCACCTGGAACAGGGAGGGGACACAACCTGGACAGGTGACCCTGACTGACCCCAGGGGTGTCCCAGACCATGTGGCCTCACAGTCAGTGTGGGAAGGGAGGGAAGGGGGAAGGGGGGGATGCTGGGAGCGATGGGGTTTGTGTCCCCAAGTCCCCATTCCCTGGGATGGAGCCCTGCTCACCTGGGGATGCTGAACAGCTGCCCTGGGGATGCTGAACACCCACCTGCCTGTGGGAAGCAGGGAAGGAACTTTGGGTTTTTGCTCCCCCCTGGACCTCTCTGTGCCTCAGCCCAGGAGTTTGGTCCCTGAGCTCTAAACCCCAAGCCTGACCATTAAGCACCCCAACAACCCTTGGGAGCAGGGCAAGGACCTGCAGGGCCCCGAGCAGGCCCAGGGGGTTGACAGAGGAATGGGAGGTTACTTGTGTGAGCTCAGCCCTTGGCACACAAGGAGCAGAGGGGTGGCAATGCTGGCAGGAGTCAGCGGTGCCTCAGGATCCCAAGGGGACCCAGGGCTGGCAAGGGGCTACCAGGTCACCTCTGTCCCAGCCCTGCCAGGCAGCAGCAGCCTCGGGCACCAAGAGTCAGGGGAGCTGTCTGTGCACAGCCCTGAGAGCTGCCCCAGCTGAGAGTCACTCTCAGGGACCCTGAGAGGAGGACCCTGGGGAACTTGGTGCAGTCAAGGCACCATTCTGACCCTGAGAAACCCCAGGGACTCCAGGGACCACTCTGACACTGCCGGGCATTCTGGAGCTGAAGAGATCTGCAGACACTCTGCAACCCCATGGAATCAAAGGGTCGCTGGGACACGGGGACCAAAGGAACCTGGGACTCAGTGGAGCCTCAGGAAATCCAGAGACCATTGTGAAACTGGAGAACCACATGGAAACAAAGGGCCATCCTAATGCTCTGGAACCTCCTGGAACCAAGGGGTCATTGTGTCACTCCAAGGACTTATGGATCCAAAGGAACACAGGGACACTCTGGAATCTCCTGGAACCATGGGGCCACTGTGGCATCTGGGGCCTCATGGAACAGAAAGAACCCTGAGACATTTGGGAAGCTCATGGGATAAGAAGGGCCATTGTGACAATACAGGGCCTCAGGAATGCTGAATGCTGAGTCATTTTGGAACCTCATGGAACCAAGGGGCCATCGTGACACTGCAGGGTCTCATGGAAACAAAGAAACCCTGGGAAACTGCAGAACCTGCTGAATTTAATGGGTCATTGTGACTCAGGGCAATCTCCTTGAGTCAAGGGGCCACTGTGACACTGCTGGGCCTGACAGAATCCAAGGGATCCTAGGACACAGTGGAACCTCCTGAAATCAAGGGCCCCTTGGGATTCCGTGTAACCTGGTGGAATGAAGTGGCACTGGGACACTGCAGGACCCCATGGAACCAAAGGCATGCGGGGACACTGTGAAATCTCAGGAAGCCAACGGGCCATGGTGACACTGTGAAGCCTCATGGAACCAAAGGGTCACTGTGATTCCCCAGAACTCCATGGAATCAAGCAGACCTACTGCCTCCCCCCCCACCCCTGCCGGTTCTGCTGCTGCTTGGGCACCTCTGGAGTCAGTGCTTCCTTTGGCACCACAACTTATCTCAGACGAGATAAGTTTTTAAGAGTTGGCTTTTTCCTCTCTTTCCCAAGGTTTTTGTTTTTGTTCCCCTGAGGGGAAAAGGGGGAAGGGAAGCATTTGTTGATCCCTGGTTTTATCTGTACACAAAAGGGAGCTGGGGCGGAAGGGGAGGGGGGGAAGACAAAGCGATTTCTCCCTCTATTATCTCTCTTTTATTCCATTCCCACCTCCCTCGCCACACCCCGGGCAACTGTTTCACCACCGCCACTCCTCGCTCGTCCCGCGGGGCAGCTCTTTTAGCTCCGGGGTGGCGGAGACTCCCCCGGCGCGGCCCTTTGGTTTTCCTTGGTTTATTCTCCGGAGTTGATTCCGTTCAGAGCTCGCCCCCCCTCTCTGGTGACCCCTGCCAGGGCCCGTCCCGGGGCGGCTCCTTCAGTGCCACGGGCGGTGGGGACCCCTCAGGGCGGCTCCCCCAGGGCCCCGCCCGCCGCCACCGCTCCCCGGGGCCCTCCCCTCTTCCTGCCGGGATCGGACACCACCGGCGGCCCCGGCCCTGCTGGGCTCCATCAGCGTAAGGAATTGCTCCCAAGGAGGGGTCGGGGGCTTCCTCTTGGCCTTCGTCTCCCTGGCGCTGGGGCTCGGTTTCTACCTGTGCCACAAGGTGAGGGGGGTCTGTACCCCCCCATAAACCCCCCTACACCGGTGTCACCCCCTTTTCTCTCCCCACAGAGTTCCCGAGCTGCCGGTGGCTGCAGCCCCTCCCCAGCGCCTCGGGCCCAGCCTGGACCACCCCCTGTCCCTGCGAGGATTTTGGGGAGGCCATGTGTCCCCCCCTCCCCTGCTGTCACTCTGCCTCCACCCGGCTGCTCCCAGTGATCCCAGTAAAGTTTCCCAGTTCTCCCCACTCCCTGTTATAGGGGGTAGTGGGGGAGGGGCTTGGGGGGATCCCAAGGGGTGGATCTGAGTTGGGGGGGCGCAGAACCGACCCCGGGATGGATCGGGAATGGGGACCCCCCTGTGTCCCCTGGTGTCAACCCACTCTGGGGGAGCTTTGAGAGGGCACCTGCCCCTCAATACAGCACCCAGCTCACCCGAAAGGATGCTGGGAACCCCACTAAACCTCCCAACAGCCCCTCAAGGAGAACCCCCAAACCCACTCAAAGCCCAGCCAGGACCCCACCCAGCCCCTTTTCTGGGGGGGACTTCTCTGGGCACTGGTGGTGCTGGGAGCCCCCCTGGCTGCGGGCGAGGAGCTCTCGGGTGAGTGGGGGGTGAGCAGGGAAGATCGGTGGGAAAAGGGGGGTCAGAGGGGACAAAGGGGTGGTAGGACCCCAAACTGAGTGGGAGGGGAGTGGGACCTCCCAAAAGTGGAGGGGGAGGGGCACTGAGGTTTGGGGGATGATGGGAGAGAGGTGGGAGAGGTCAGAAGAGTGGGGAAAAGGGGAGGGTGGGACCCCCAAACTGAGCATGAGGGGGCTGGGGAGTGGGGGGATGATGTGGAAGGGGTGGGGAGGGGGGAAAAAAGTGGGGACTGGGACTCCCAGAGTGATCCTGGGGGGGCTGTGAATTGAGGGGACCATGAAAAAGTGGAAGGAAGAGGGAGAGGGGTGGAAAAGGGGGGATGGTCTGGTGGGTCTGAGAGTCCCATGGGGGTCTTTGGGCACAGGGGGGTTGGCAAAGAGGGGTGGTCCCACAGCTGCCAACTTACTGTGGGGTTCTGGGGGCTGCTGGATCCAATCCCAGCTCTGGGTTATGCCAACAGTTTCAGTTTAGAGGAATTACAGAGCTGTGACTGAACCACTTTTGTCCCCCAGCTTTTAATGATGGCAAATCAAATCTATTGATAGAAAGGAATTTATTTAGGGTTATAAGTGATCAGACAAAAGATCTTCATCAGAATTATTTACTGCACAATAGAAACACTAAAACTACCAGGAGTACAGGATAAGATAGGACAGTGCTCTACACTAAAGCAATTGTTGAAGCATTTCTACTCAAGTTGGCACAAAAGCAATAATTCTTAATTAGAGATGGATGGAACTCCCCCAGACAAACGCTGGTGGGGAGATCTCTGCTCTCAACCTCCAGCAGTGACCTTGGGGGGGTCCCCAACCAAGGCAGGAATCTCCACACATGCCCCAAGAAGGGTTCTGTTGGAAGAAGCTGCCCCTGGGAAAGAGGCCCTTTGTGGTCGAAAGGGATGGACTGACAGTCACTGGACTCCAGGGGTTGCCTCACCATTAGGGGGTTCATTTGGGGTGGAAGCAGCGGCTGAAGCTCTTCCCGCAGTCGGAGCACTGGTAGGGCTTCTCTTACTGGTGGGTCCGTTGGTGTTTGGTCAAGGTAGAGCTGTGGGGGAAAGTCTTCCCACACTCCCCACACTTGTAGGGCCTCTCCCCAGTGTGGGTGCGTCGGTGGGTGATAAGGTGGAAGTTGTACTTGAAGCCCTTCCCGCAGTCAGTGCAGCGGAAGGGCCTCTCATCCGTGTGTGTCCGCTCATGCGTGAGGAGATGTGAGGTGGTCCTAAACCTCTTCCCACATTCCATGCACTTGTAGGGCCGTTCTCCAGTGTGGATGCGCTGGTGACTAAGGAGGTTGGAGCTGTCACTGAAGCTCTTCCCGCATTCTCTACAATTGTAGGGCATCTCCATGGTGTGGATGCGCTGGTGGGTGCGGAGCTTGGAACTGTTCCTGAAGCTCTTCCCACATTTCCCACATGAGTAGGGCCGTTCCCCAGTGTGGATGCGCTGGTGGGTGAGGAGTTTGGCATTCTCCCTGAAGCTCTTCCCACATTCCAAGCACTTGTAGGGCCGTTCCCCAGTGTGGATGCGCTGGTGAGTGCGGAGGTGGGAGCTCTGCCTAAAGCTCTTCCCACATTCCTCACATGAGTAGGGTCGTTCCCCAGTGTGGATGTGTTGGTGGGTGAGGAGGTGGGAGCTGTTCCTGAAAGTCTTCCCACATTCCCCACACCTGTAGGGTCGTTCCCCAGTGTGGATGTGCTGGTGTTGGATCAGGTTGGAGCTGTCACTGAAGCTCTTCCCACATTCCCTACATGTATAGGGCCTCTCCCCAGTGTGGATGTGCTGGTGTCGGATCAGGGTGGAGCTGTTCCTGAAGCTCTTCCCACATTCCAAACACTTGAAGGGCTTCTCCCTGTTGGGAGGCTGCTCAGGGACCACCAGGTCAGAGCTCCCACTCAAGCTCTGGCTGCCTTCCCTACACAAGCTGGGCCTTTCCTCCTCAGAGCACCCTGGGATGGCTTTGGAGCCCCTCCTGCGGGGGGATCTCCGGCCCTTTTCCTCCCCGCTGCCTTCCTGTGCCATGGAGCCCTTCAAAACGGCCTCTCCCACCAGGGTCTCACGGGGGGATTTGTCCTCCGGGCTCTCCGTCCTCATCTCGGGGCCTGGGGCAGGAAGCAAGAAGGACAGGGAGGGGATTTGCCTCCGGCCCACAGGGAAGGCCAAGGACATCCCCCCAACTCCGGCCCCGGCAGGACGGCGGCGGCAGTGGGGTTGTCCTGCAGCCGGGGCCATGCTCGGCTGACAGAGCCAGCACAACACCCGCCCAAAGGGCCACTGACTTCCTCCTCACCTGCCTGGAGGGCCCAAAGCATCTTCCTCTTCCTCGCAGCCTCCTTCATCTGGCCAAGTTTTGGGAAGGACAAATCCTGCTGAGGGGGAATGTGGAGAATTGATTAGAAATGTGTGGACATATGGACATGGCTAAAGCCATGGATGAGCTGCTAAAGTATAAGACGCAGGCCTCTAACTAGGCCGTGAGAAGGTATGAGATAACAGACTGTGAGAAAGCAGCGATGTCCTTGGGTATTCTAAATTGAGCTGGAAAACAGGAGCCTGGCATTAGCAAAACAAAAAGCTCTTAACGAACCACCTGTGTAAACAAGGGAAGACAGTTAAGATGATATCACCACCTAACTGTGGGCCAATAATGAGCCTAATTTCTGTAATATTCATGAGCCTATTATAGAGTGTATATTAAGCTACTGTTAATCTACAATAAATGAAGTTCACGGATTCTTACATTAAGTGTCCTGAGCTTTCCGTCGCGACGATATTAATAGCGCCCGAACAGGGACCAGAGGGGGGTCCCTAGGGGATCAAGACGGATTCCCTGGGTTGGAGTCAAGTTGGACTCCAGAGAACCAAGTCAGGTTCTCGCAGCGCGTTTGGACGTAGGAGTTTTGGTCGGTCTTGCTGGTGCAGCGCAAGTAGGCGAAAGGGTTGGACGAAAAGACCTTAAACCTGCCGCCGCCGAACACCTCCCTTTCGGGGATTTTGGACGGCGAAGGAGTTTAGTTCCGCGTCCCACGTAGCGAAAAGAGCTCAAACCTGCCGCCGCCGAACGCCTCCCTTTCGGGGATTTCGGACAGCGAAAGAGTTTAGTTCCGCGCTACCAGGAACAGAATTGTTGGACCCAGCGCCCAGGACGACTCCTGAAGAAGGAGGCCCGCCGACAAAGCCGCAAAGTCTCGTGGAAAGGGCTGCACAAACCGGGGTAATGTTTTTGAGTAATGGGGAGACAAGCGGCACTGTCATTGCTCCAATGCTTTTTATAAAAGCGGGAAGTTAAGGGTTAAGGGTTTAGATTTAAAGAAAGAATTACCAGGATTGCTTGTTTAAAAAAGAGAAAAATTAGACGAACTGGCTTTGCGAGAGATGCTGCTTTCGTGTAAGAGCCAGGGATTTGAAGCGAACGCTGTAACTGCTTTTACTATCTCTACTTGGAAAGAACTTAGTGATAAGCTCTTTACTGCTGACTCTAAGGGAGAAAAAGTTGCTGCTTCCCTCCTTACAACTTGGTGATTGTTATCTGGAACAGTAAAAGACATTAAAGCAC